GTACATCAATCCCGCGAGGTATCAAGACGCCCATGCTCCAATGCCCCGGTAAACGCCGTGTTCCTAGCAGCCCATAGACTCCGATTGCGCCATATACCGTTGCTACTCGCCAGAAGCATTCCGCAGTCCCAGGCGAGAGACAAAGGAAGAAAAGGAAATAGAAACCATTCATAGAACCCAAAATGAGAAAGAAAAGAAAAACCGTATCAAGGAATGACAGTTATTCAAGGGACCGTTCCGGTCGTATTGAAGGAGAGACATTATGCCACATCGGCAGGCGACAAAAGAAATGAAAGCAAGATATGCATAAGGGCAGAGGAAAAGACTGTGGTGAAGCCAAAGGATAGCGAAAGAGAAGCCCTCGCCGGGGGCAGACATGGGGACTGCTCATCATATCCTCCGATTGTGGTTATTCGGAGTGCGGTGAATGATGGCCCCTATCCCCATGTCCGCACTCGGGAGTCTCTGATTCCTCATCTGCTGATCGTGCCCCATATACGACCCGTCTCCAGACGAGTGAGAGTGCGCGGAGGCCACCGAGGACGTATAGCCATGGTGCGACCCGTGTGGGGGTCCGTAGCCGTAAGGGTTTCCCGAGTGGTTGAGAGCCTGGAGCTGTGGGTGCGCACTCATTTGGTATCCTGAGCCGTTGCTGACTCCGCTCGCGGAGTGTCCGGCCGAGCTTGTCGTCTCCGGGCTACTGTAGGAGGTGTCTAAGCCGTCAACTGGAGTTAGGCCGATGCCACTGATTCCGCTGTCATCATCGTACCCTTGTTGCATCTGATGACCGGACTCGAGACGTTCCCGCCTCGTCCCGGCCCGAGCAGCGCTCTGCAGGTTCTTGAGACCGTTGGACATGCACTATCAACGAGGGGCCCGTCAGTTTACGCGCACATGGTGGCCGGTGTATAGGGTCTATCTTTGGAACTCCTCACCTTCTGCTCCACAACGTTCCACTTCTCACCAACGCGCTCGGCCAGGGGAGACCAGATTTCCTTCCTCATCCTCATGTATTCCATAGAGAGCCTCTCGAAGTCTGACTTGTTCCAGTTGTCTGCCGTCTTGCGCTCTATCAAGCGCTCGTGACGCTTACGGCAGGCATTGGGCGTCTTGCTCGGGAAGTACCTCTGCTGGATCTGACTCCAGTTGAGGCCAGACGCGCGGGCATTCATAAGAGACTCGTCATCGTCCTTCGACCACGCTGCCGACGCCGCGCGCGGCTGTGACATGGGCTGAGGTACCGGCACAGACTCGTGTCCAGACGGCTGTGTCGGTGCAGCGGCCATGTAGGTGTACTGTTGGTCCGCCTGGAGCTGGAGGGACGCGGCCTGGGCATCCGGGTAGTATGCCGACATGGACATCCGCGTGTTGTACATGTCCGACTGTGTCGAGGATGCGTTAAGGGATACCGGGACTGGAATGGCGTTGTAACGGTGGTGGGACGAGCTGGACACTCTAGAGTGCTTGGGCATGGTGTACGATATCGGCTGTGTAAGTCGTTTCAGAGTGGAAGTCCGGGGCAAATGAGCAGGGACTGGCAAACGAAACCACGACTTTTCGCAACAGAGATGTTGGGAGCGATGGTGACTGAGAGGGCCGAAGAGGGGTGGTAGGATTATAGATTAGACGATGTGATATCTCGATAGACGTCCGAGACTTGATCGTATAGTAAAGCCTCACCAGGAGGCTGTCGTGATAAAGAGACGGAAATAGTCAAACCAAAAGAGATCGGAAGACTGCACACACACACCACACAGTGGATAGTGAGGAAGATAGAAGACCTTGATGATGCGTCAAGCAAAAAAAAAAAGGAAGAACTCAACACATATGAGGAAGAGAAAAAAGGAACACGACAGTAGGAAAACTACTAAAGGAAATGAAACTAGTCCCCGAGAAACGATGGTATCTTGATATGACAAGGGAGAAGAAGGAGACCACAACAACGGCCACGGCGGGATGCCTCCGACCTGATATACTAGCATTATTGACGTACGATAGCTACCCCATCCTAACTTCCCCATCCTGGGATGTCGATGGAGGTGTGGTAGGAACGTGGGACTTTGAAACACGATGGCATGAGCTAATATGGTACCCTGAATCTCTTGAAACTCGCCTCATGTGTCTGAAGAAGAGACCGGAGACAAAAAGGACTGATGATATTGGCTGGAGGGAGATTAAGAGTGCGTCTAGCTGAGGATGGGCGGCTACGAAGGGGGTCCGATGGCGGGCGGTTAGGACCGCCCTGGAGATATCAGTTGCCAAGCTCCACAAACTGGGCGGATGGTGGGCCCGGGTAGTCTTAGGGAGAAGTCAGCTAGCTCTCGAAGCCGCACTTGACCTCGTGTGCAAGGAGGGTTAAGGTGGAAAGCAGGTTCGTCAGGGCAAGGAGGGGTGGTGTGTGGGGTGTGTAAGTGGGGGGGGAGGGGGGGGGGTAGAAGGGGCGGGTGTTGACGTCGGTCCCTGCCTCTCCCGCACCAAAAATAGGTGTGGATCGTGTACGTCGCGTTGCACCGAGTATGAGTAGGCGCCAGCCTCGAGAGACGAGGCTCAAACTCCACTTGGGCCAATAAGAGGTGTTCGGGACTGACTCGGGCATGACATCGACAGGGCAGAAGATACTGAGAGGGGGGTGTACGAGCCTGTGCCAGCGTATCATTGGATGTAGGCCGGGGTAGGTCCAGTCTGAGGCGTGCGGTTCTCTGGCAGAGTACCCGAGGATCTCGGTGGACTAGGATTATACCGGATATGCGAAAGGAACGTCACCATGGACGCGGGTCCTCGTCCTGTCTAGCCACTTGGCAAGGACTATAAAAATAGGAAGTAAGGCGGCGCATCTAGCAATCTCATCCGGCAACAACGGCGGCAAGGAAACACCGGAAAATCACTTGATTTGGTGAAGAAGCGCCAGTGTAAATTGCACGAAGAGGACCATGGCGCAGGAATGCACCGAGGGACCTTTTGACCGTCTGATCGGGTTAACACGGGGCAGAAGTGGGCTCAATGCCACCAAAACGCAAGGGAGAAGCATCGTGGTGCAGAACCAGTACATTCCTCTCGGCTAGGGAGGGAACACCCTAGTCATCACGAGCGTGAGCTCAATCCAAACGACATGAAAGTCAAGTCCATCGAGTAGGAATAACAGAAAGAGGGCTAAAACCCCGGGGGAAAGGGCTCAGGGACCATTTACTCGCCTGCCGCATGGCGGGCGGCGGATGTAAGTCGCCGGACTGAGCTACGGCTGATGGAGAGACTAACTGACAGCGCCTGTGCAAGAGAGGGCGGGAAATAGAAGCACAGCCCCCTTGACGTCTCCTCCAGGAACCCACTCATCTAACCCAGGAGAGCGCAAGTACGCGACTCGTTCGTCCCAGGGGGGAAGTCCGGAGGGGGTGTAATTGCATTATGAGCGAGAGAGGATGGAAGGTGGGGTGGATTGTGGAGATAAGGACCTATTAAAACGCTTCTCTTCTCGCCGACATGGTGTGGAGAAGGCTCCAAGTAAAGTAACGAGCAGGGCCAAGACTGCGGAATGACGAACGGGTAGCCGCCGGACGGGATAAGGCGGTAAACGCTTGGAGGAGATTGGAGGCTAATAGCGCCAAATCTCATTTCAAAACGACGTCTCCAGCCAGGGGCCCCTGCCTCCTTGACATTGCCAGCGAACCGGGCCGAGATTTAACGGCGAGCAGGCCTGTATATCCCTATCTCTAGCATGGGTTCCAGGGAACTAGAATCCGCTTGTGCCCATGGCGGATGACGTGGGAAGCGCTTGCTGCTCTTATCGTCGCCGCCGGGCTTCGGCTAGCTTTGATCGATGGAGAGACGCGGGAACGCAACGCAGGCATGAGTATTGTTTTTGTCCTCGAGTCCTTGAGGAAAATCGACTGGACAGGAGCTGCCAAATTTCGTTTCGCTCTTGTTTCTCCGGTACCATTTCCTCATTGGCCAGTCATGCAGCTGGAATGGCCGGATTGGGGATGGAAAGTGCAAGGGGAAGATATTAGACGCGCGGTTCCATGCAAGTACAAGCACCGGCCAGCCAATGAGGACCAATATTTACAGTAGCAATACTCCGATATACTGTACAATTCCTCCATTAGTCGCGCTGATTCAACCAAGTCCGCCACTCGCCTTCGCCGGGGTCTCGAGAGGTTTCGAAGCTGCTCACTCCCGGTTCAAGCCGCCAACAGCTTTTTGGACGACGAAAATAGATTATCAGCCCAGACTCAACCCCTTGTCGCGCTATTCCAGCGATGACGCTGAAGGCGGCAAGCCCCAAAAGAAATAGAGAGTCCCCCCTGTACTACAAGTACCTGGGTACTGTGGTCCATGCACCCATGTGTCCATCCTTCCTTCCCCAAAACCATGAAGTGTTGAAGGAAAGTGCCACTGGGGCCCCCTCAGTTCGATCCAGGCCGAGAAGGAAGGACCCGCGCTTGGGAGACCATAGTTCCCGGCCATATATGGTCCGACCTTCCACTCCTCCGCTCCTCCACCTGGTCCTAGCCCATCGTGGTCGGGCCAAGAAAGGCTCCTTCCATTTACGTATATGCCTGGAAAGGACAGCTTCACTTGGGTACCATGTACGAGTAACTATGAGGTCTGGGGATGGGGCGGCCACCTCACTTTCCGTCGTAGGGCGAAAAGTGTCACCCGCCAGCGCCGTCCGGCCTGCTAGCTTTTGAGGCGTGTTTGCCTAGAGTTGCATGCGGTCCCTCAGGCTCAATGAGGGTAGGTGAGAGGCTGATGCGGCATTGTGACCATACCGTTCTCTCCCTGCGAATTCATCCCAGCCCTTTTCTGAAATTTACGTTCTTTTCTGGGCCTTGTAAGGCCGCCCTCGCTCCTTCCATCGATCGGGCTTCGTCGTGGCGATGACCTAAATCGCTTCTAGGGGCATGCTTGCTTTCTTGACCGACCTTGGACAGTCCGAGTCCCGAGTCCCGAGTTTCGAGTCCCATGTCTTGCGATCATTCCGGCTCTCCGCAGGAAATCAAACAGCTCTGGTAGCACAATTGGTTAGTGCGTTGGACTTTTATCGCCGGCCTGAAATAAGGACCTCTAAGGAATCCAAAGGTTGCGGGTTCGAGTCCCGCCTGGAGCGGCTTGTTTTGACCTTTTGGTCTTGTTTAGTCTATTTTGCTTATTACTGTACCGCCTACCCCCTTTGGCTGGATTACTTACTATTAGTTATCGCCTCTCACCCAGCTCCTCGTTCTCGTACTTCATTCGCGGTCCCCTGGCCCGATCCACGGCTCGGCAATCGCGCACCATCATTCCTTGTGTAGAGTCGAGTCATCAATCAGTTGATTCCGGGCAATGCAATTTGCTCAAGATCTCTGTAAAGACCACCAGGTCCTCGGTCTCGCCTTAGGCTCGTTCATATGCCTATCCTCGGCCTCTTCTAACGGCGGGCTCTCACGCCAAGCTTTCACTACTCGAGTCTCCTATTAGATAATAGCAAAGAAAAACGGGTCTGGCAGACGACCACGATGGACAGTGCGCTCGGGGAGGCGGCCGGGAGCGTTTGTAATACCAGAGAGCGACCAATTACGGATAGGACTGAATAGCCGGAACCGGAATGACGATGTGCCGGAGGACCTGCCTACTAGCATTTGTCGACCAGTCATCGCGAGCCAATAACCAAGCTAGGTTCGCCAAGAGCACCGGGGAATTAAACCCCCCGGAACTTTATGATATCCACTGTCGGTCTAGAGATCCAGACGCCAGCTAGTTATATGGACGGAGGACATCCGTCAGAGAGGTTGAGGCTAGAGAGGGAGCATATGCCCTTGGGCCTGGCCTCCCAGCATCGCCACATTCCGGAAGAAATCAGCTCCTACATTCAGCCAAATATTCCCTGTCCTCGACGGTGATACAGTAACATGAAAGGGCCGCCTATGGCATCTCCTCACGCGGACAAAGCGGCAAATGCTTGGTCCCTTCGTTACCCTGTCTGGGAGAGGGGCGCCAAAAAGGACCGAATGGACTGAGAAGAACCGGAGAATTTGCTGATGAGCTCCCCCTACCTTCTGAGATCCGGCCAATGGGCCCGTCGCGTTTATTCGAGTGGGCGGATTCAGGCTAAAGGTAGAAGCCCACCCACACTCCCCGCACGGGCGCGCGATGAGTCGCGGTTTATTTCGGCAAGGGTGATTAATATGCAACTCTCCGTGGGGAGCTTGTCACCGTTGAAGGACCCTCGGCAGGCGATCCCACTCCAGAGCGGGTTACCCCCGGGTGGTGGACGGCAGAGATGTCTTGGCGCTGAGATCTCTCCGTCCTTCCGTTGGACCGCGGAAGACGAGCCGGCTTGCTTGGCTTGAGACCTCAACGTCGCCCGAAGATCTATTCTCAAAACCGAGGTTCCAGAGTGGCTTTAATACATCTTGGTGACCCCGAGATCTGCGGGCCAACGAAGAGCAAATGAACGGGATGTACTTGTAAGGGTGCTTTAGACATCTACCCCTACATAAGTACAGGGTAGTACAAGGGCCATCTTGGGTAATCCTTCACCAGGGACTCGGAGCCGACTGAGTCTCGACAGCTATAGGAAATGATCTGCACCTTGCTCGTACTCCGCACGCGATCCTTGGGGTCAATTTACCCTTTCCCCAATAAATGATGTCCTTTCTTAGCTCTTACCCCATGCTTGCCTGCTCTCCTTTGGGCCCCTACCAGGATCCAGACATGTAACGCCCTGCCGAATGTACTCATAGACCAAGGGGGACAAGCATTGGTACCGCCGAATTGGAGGGTCAGACTCTCTCCTGTGAGTCGTGCGGAAGAAGCGGCACGCCGGGATTTTTTTTCGGGACTCCCTACGGAACAAGTGAGGCCACTTACAGTACTTCGACGGTTCCGCGTCCCCCCGCTTCTCCAGATGTTTGGCTAGTGTTACCCAAGCAGATGAGCTTGTTGGTATTACGGGTCGCTTCTTTCAAGTTTTGGATGAAAGTAGTGGATATTTGTAGTATTTCGCCTCTGTATTTAACCAAAGCGGCCCCCCTTCGCGTGCCAGGCGTACGACGCGACCGTTATCCCTTTTATACCCTCGCCCCCCTTCACCCCGTCTTGCTCGTCCCACCTGCTCGGGTCAAGCTCTCACGTTTGCGATACACCCAAGAAAGAGTCTCTTTCCAGTGACAGATATATACTGTCACCTCCAAACCCATCCTAGACAGTCCGCCGGATTCGCCTCGCAGAAATGGGTGGCGCCGGAGCCGACCATGGCACGTTCTACGACGCTGCGCTTCAGCGCCGCGAGAAGCTCATGGGAGCCAGCGGCGCGCGCGCCCTGTGGAAGAACTTCAAGGTCTTCCGGATAGCTGCCTTCGCGTGTATCGGAGGAGTCTTGTACGGATACAACCAGGGGATGTTCGGGAGTGTCCTGGCCATGCCAGCCTTCAAGGAGCGTGAGTAGAAACCTCCGATGCGGACTTGGGCGAGCGCCGCTCTATAGTAAAGGCTCAAAGTAGCGAGGTGACCCCGGGATTCCGCGATGATTTCTTTTGGCATCTTGGGATGATAGGTTCTGGAGCTGGAGAACAAGTGTTAGCTAACGTTTGGGTGGACAGACATGGGAGAGTATGACCCGTTCGATGAGACCGCCAGCATGACCAAGAAGGGATGGCTCACTGCCATTCTCGAACTCGGCGCCTGGCTCGGCACCCTTCTCTCTGGTTTCCTCGCCGAAACCTTGTCCCGTAAATACGGCATCATCGTTGCCTGCCTCGTCTTCCTCCTTGGAGTCGTCGTCCAAGCTGTAAGTCACACCCGATTCACAGCCCGCCCTCCAATTCCTGGTAGCTGTCGAGGGAGATGTGCCCTAACGGAATAAAATAGACTGCGGTCCAGGCCGGGCCTAGTGCTATTCTCGGAGGCAGATTTGTTACTGGTACGTCGAGGGCCCTTCCCCCTCCCGGATACCGACCCCATACTTATATACCCTCCCAGGTATGGGTGTCGGTTCCCTGGCCATGATTGTGCCCATCTACAACTCCGAGGTCGCACCCCCTGAGGTCCGAGGCGCCCTCGTCGCCACGCAGCAACTCGCCATCACCTTCGGTATCATGATCTCCTTCTGGATCGGCTACGGAACCAACTTCATCGGCGGAACCGAGCGCGGCGAACAGAGCGACGCGGCCTGGCTCGTGCCGATCTGCATCCAGATCGTGCCCTGCCTTGTCCTCCTCGGCGGCATGGTGTTCATGCCCTTCTCTCCCCGCTGGCTCGTCCACCACCACCGCGAGGACGAGGCGCGCGAGATCCTCGCCAGCCTCCGGGACCTGCCCATCGACCACGAGCTCGTGGAGCTCGAGTTCCTCGAGATCAAGGCGCAGTCGCTGTTCGAGAAGAGGAGCGTGGCCGAGAAGTTCCCGCACCTGCGGGAGGAGACGGCCTGGAACCTGTTCAAGCTGCAGTTTGTCGCGATCCACTCGCTCTTCCAAACGAAGGCTATGTTCAAGCGCGTCATTGTCGCCTCTGTGACTATGTTCTTCCAGCAGTGGACGGGAATCAACGCGTTCGTCTTCATCCCTGCATCCCCCTTTTTTTTTGCTTCCATCCCGTCGTTTGCTGACGCTGTTTTTTTTCTCTGGCAAACAGGGTTCTCTATTATGCTCCTACCATCTTCAATCAGCTTGGGCTCACCGCGACGACGACTTCCCTTCTCGCGACCGGTGTGGTGGGCGTGGTGATGTTCATCTTTACCATCCCCGCCGTCCTTTGGATTGTAAGTTGGAATTGTACCCTAGTGATTAAATACCCAGTTAAAGGTAGTGATGGCTAACCCGGACTGAACGGCACAGGATCGAGTGGGACGAAAGCCGATCCTGGTAATTGGTGCCATCGGCATGGCGTAAGTGATCTCCACATACCCCTTACCCGTCTGGAGGCGTAGCCCGGTTATGCTTACGCCTTCAATCCACTATTTAGCTTATGCCACTTCATCATCGCCGTCATTTTTGCACGGAACTCAGACAAGTGGGATCATCAGAAGGCCTCGGGTTGGGCCGCCGTCTCCATGGTCTGGCTCTTCGTCATCCACTTCGGCTACTCCTGGGGTCCCGCTGCGTGGATCGTCGTCGCCGAGATCTGGCCCCTCAGCTCCCGGCCGTACGGCGTGTCCCTCGGGGCGTCGTCCAACTGGATGAACAACTTCATCGTGGGGCAGGTGACGCCAGACATGCTGCAGAAGATCACGTACGGGACGTACATCCTCTTTGGCGTGCTGACGGTGCTCGGAGCGGGGTTCATCTGGTTCGTAGTGCCGGAGACGAAGAGGCTGACGCTCGAGGAGATGGACATCATCTTCGGGTCGGAGGGCGCGGCGCAGGCGGACTTTGAGAGGATGGAGGAGATTAACGCTGAGATTGGGCTGACGGCCATGCTACATAGCGCTGCTGTGGGTGGGAGCGGCTCGGACGAGAAGAAGGACGTCGTCTAAGGGTGTCGAATGGAGGGTACGTACGCCGTTGAGTACAGAGATGGGGAGAGTTGGGGAGGAGGAGGTTGAGGCGAAGGGAGGGGAAAGGAGGGGGAGGAGAGTACTATGTTAATATTTGCCTGTCGAGAATGATTTTCTTGGTCAACAATGACGAGAATGCTATTTTTTGTCTTGAATTGGCGAGAAGTACAGCTGGTGGGCTCTCTGAGCCTCTTTTGAGGTTCCAGTGTGTTTACTCATCGAAGACTTGGATAAACGAAGGCGAAGAGTTGGCCTTGCCCGTGTTAGTGACCACCTGGGGATGGGGAGATGCTCTCTTGATAGATCCCGACATTAAAGTCTCCTCAAACACACATCAAGGATGATATCGTGAGGTGCGATACGACGGAGAGGTGATGTTAGGTGGAGAGCGGTTGGCGAGTAGGGACCTGCACAACAATCTAGGGAAGGAGCCACACTAGTTTTCAAAGCTTACCCCTGAGTCCGGAGGTGCCTGGCGGACGATGATTTGCATGGAGGGTGGCTACTTGTATGTATCTGCACATGTGGCCCGAAATACTTTCTAGTACACCTGCATCTCGCGAGGATTTTAGTGGTCTGCGGGAGCGAGGGAGAGATTCCGTGGCGTCTGATGCCTTTGGTCTCCTGATTACCTG